AAGTCTCTGGCTTCAGGAAGAAATGATGGCATCTGGGTGGGCAGGATGCTCTCCCCAAACTTGTCTTTGTAATGGCATTTCAAGAGATCAGGAGAACCAAAAGCCCCTCTCTATGCTGCTCTCATCTTCCCCCCAGCCAGAGAAGAAGCTTGGACCTCAAGGAGGAGAAAGCTTAGTGTCAAGTCCACACTCAGGAATGGTCCAAGGGCCACCAGGGTTCTCCAAAGCTCCGTTATATTCTCACTGCCCTGGGATTCAACTCAGAGGGGTAGAGTATGCACAGAGCCATGACTATTCCATAACTATTTGGGGCATAGAAGATGGCATTCTAATCTTGTGACTACAGCATTTAGACCCAGAGGAGGATACTGAAAACTGGGAGTAGCTAAGGAAGGCTGTGCTGGGGCCCGAGGTCTGAGAGAGCTAGAATGTGAGTATCCAGAGGCCCAGGAGCCCAATCTGGGAGGGAGTGTCCTGAAGGAGGAAGAGGAACACATTCCCAGACCACCCGCTGAGGCCAGGGTAGGGCCAGATGGCCAAATACCATTTGATCCTCCTGACAAGTTGAGGGTAGTGCTGTGAGGCCCATTTTTCACTTGAGAGTTAATGAAAGCAGTGTTTGATCCTAGATCTGGAGAGCTGGGGAGTAGGGGGACAAGCCAGGAGAGGAAGCTGGGGCCAATGGTGGAAAGCAGGGAAACCAGGCAGAGCAGAGATCAGAATCTAAGTGATTAGGCACCTGAGTTCTTCAGGAAGGGATTGCATGACTTCCGCAAGGCTCCTATGCAGACTATGCTGAAGCATAGGTGGGGAGAGGCTGAGAAATTCTCTGGGAAGCTGTCCCTAGAATGAGTGTGACAGGAATGAGTATGACAGGGATGAGTGTAGAAGGTGGAGGAGGGAGGGCCTGGGAGCCCCAGAGAAAGCAAAGGGAGTAGGCAGGATTCAGACCAAGTCCCCTGGAGGGTGAGTATCCAGAACCTGTGTCAGCAAAAGCTGTTTCAGCCAGCATCCAGCTTGGGCCTGGCTCTGCCAAGAGGCCTGCAGAGGGCCAGAGATTTCTCCTTGGGCTTCTCAGGGCCTTCCAGCCCACCAGTGAGTGATCTGAGGAGTCCGGAAGTGTCACATGGGCCCGGCTGCCTCTTTCACTCTTCTTGCCCATGGCACGGTGAGTCACTCAGACATGTCACCCAACTCCCCTGAGGGATAGCCACAGCTTTCACATGCCCACTGCTACACCCACCTGCCTCAACTCCTCTCGAGGTGTGTCTGTCCCAGCCCTGCAGGTCGTCCTGGCTGCATATCTCACGGCATGCCTATATCGGTGCTCAGACATTCCCTTGTCTTCCCCCTGCCACACTCATCACTAAAGGTAGGGGGTTGGGGAGCAGACAGCCAGAGAAATGGACTGCGGTCAGGTCTACCACCTCCCCTTCCCCTTCCCCACATGCCCCTCTGCACAGAGGCTGCCTTTTGGGTGTACTTGGTCCCCTTTGAGTACCCCTTGTTGTTTATGTTTTTTCATTTCCCCTGAGGAATAGAGTTGGGGGGCATGCATGGTGTCTGGGGTGCCAGACCCATCATATTGTATCTAGACTCCACAGTTGTCACAGGGTAGGCTCTGTTGCAGCCTTGCCTGGTGAAGTTTGAGACTATCCTGATGCCTTCCAGGTCCTGGGTTACCCTCGCCACCCCAGAGTGTTCTCTCCTAGCTTGGATCATAAACACACTGCTCTCTGATTCAGCTTCTAATATGTGTCTGAGTTTCCAAGAGTTCAAGGAACCTGAAAGGGATGAGAGTCAGGGATGACCCCCCTCAGGGAACGTGCCCTTCAGACCTGGGTCAGGACTGGGGAGGGAGTCCTCCAGAAACCTCCCAGCTGTCAACCATTTTCATTCCTCTTAGGAAAATAAATGCAAACCAGCACCCCAAGGGGTATGAGACAGGTATCTCCAGCGGTATTAGAGAGGCAGTGTTCTCAACATCCGTAGAGATTATTGAGTCATCTTCGCTACCTACATTCTAGGAAAGGAGATATGTCATTCAGATGACCAAGCCCTCTGTCACTCCACGAAGAATAAGGATTAGAACGTATCTATGCCTAGGAAATCCCCTACGGTCCCTGAAATTCTCAGGATTGTGTCACAGTTGCTTAACCTTCTAGCACTACCCTTACAGTCAGCTGAGGACGCCATCTGGGCTCAGCCAGATTTCCTCCTTTGTTCCTCCCTCCCAGGATTACCTCTTCTTTGGGCTGCACTCTCTTTCTTTCCAACTTATTGGGGAGGAGGAGGAAATAGGTCTCTGCAAAATGACTCAAAAACATATCAACACTTTAAGTGTGGTTGTCTGATTAACCCTGTCCCTTCCGGGAGTATTTTTATCTTAACCAGAGGTTTAAGCTTTAGGCTAAAAATACTGAGATTTTATTTAACGGGTTTAATGAGAGAATTCTAGGAATGGACTGATGATAGGAAAAGGATTTTAGAGGGAAAGGGTACTTTACAGGGCTTCTTATACTGTGTTAAACAGTTAAGTGTGGAGTTGGTGGAGGTTCCTAGTGTGCAGGAGGTGGACACAGGGACAATGTTACAGGCCCAAGAAGAGGGGCCGGTGGCCAGGAAAAGCCATGGGAAGCATCCAGAAGGAATGAACTGGTCCCCAGGGAGTCTCGCTATGGGCACCACAATTGGACATGCCAACTTACTTATCTGTAGCTGCAAGGACTCAGCCCAGAATTTCTGGAGGTACTGATGTATCCCAGCAGCAGGAAGTTGAACTTTTCCATTCATTCATTTGTACAACAAATATCTAGTGAGTGCCGACACACGGTCTACCGGGCCTGCCAGTGCTCAGGGTGCAAAGAAGACAGATGCACCGACATGTCGTTTGTACAAATATCTAGTGAGTGCCGACACACGGTCTCCCGGGCCTGCCAGTTCTCAGGGTGCAAAGAAGACAGATGCACCGACATGTCATTGCAGTGCAGTGTAGCCAGTGCTCTAACCAGGGGAAGGGCAGAGGGTTGTGGGCAAAAAGGGGCACCTGGTCCAGACTTGGGGGCTTGAAGAAGGCTTCCAGAGGAGGTTGCTTCTGAAATCTGAAGGGGCAAGCCAAGGGAAGGGCGGGGTGAAAGTGGAAGAGAAGGGTGTTCTAGGTAGGAGTGGCAAGACAGCATGGCACCTTCAGAGACCTACAGGTATTAGCTTGGCCAGAGTCTTGAATGCGAGTGTGAGCACATGTTTGCATGTGTGTGTATGCATACACATGTATGCGTATGCAAGTACGTGTGTGTGTTTGGGGGCTGGGGTATAGGGAGGGTGGAAAAATAAGGGCAAGACTGGGGAAGCTGGCAAAGCAGCCATGTTGAGTGGTTGGGACTTCTTCCTGCAGGTAAACGAGAGCCATTAGAGGATCTTAAACTGGGGAGTGACATGGTTACAACTATAAAGATCCCTCTGGCTTATCTTGAGAGAAAAGATTAGAGTAGGGCAAAACAGAAGACAGGATGCCCAGTGGGGAAGGGGCAGCAGATAGGAAGGTAACCTGTACCAAGGTAGCAGCAGTGCAAATAAGGAGACATGGATGGGCTAGAGGGGTCAAAGAAGTTAAATCCACTCGATGTGAGTGAGGGTCAAGGATGATACTTGGTATCTGGCTAGGACACTTGAGTTGATGAGGAGGAGCTGGTTGGGCATGGAAGGGATGGTGGGGATGATGAGGTCATTATTTTCTTTTGATTCTTTTGGGTTTTGGTCATTCTTTGTGTCTGGATCAAATGATGATTATGATATTTAAAGAACAGTTTATTCAATGGGAGGAGGCCTGTGAATTCCAATTCACTGAATGGTGAGCCCTCAAAAGTTAACCAGATGTTGGGGATAAAATCAGAAGCTAAGAATTCTTGTGATGCAATCAATGCTTATCAACTCTGATCAAGTCCTCAGCGTAGTGACAATGTAGGAATAAGTCAGTTCGGGGGTACACCTCTCATTATTAATAGCAGTTGTGAACTAGTTTGGATCAGTCTTACCAGTATAGAACTCCAATCTGCACACCAGCTTTACCGCCTAGAGGACTCTCTGATGCTGGAAACTATTGACTTTTCTCATTTTCTATGTATCTGGTGTGTACCCTGGGAATTAACTCAGCAGATTGCCGGGAGGGTGACAAGGGCAGTCTTGACAGCTTTTCCTTCCACCTCTCTGGTAGAATGGAGGGAGGGAGCCAGGCTGGGGTGCTATTTTTCACCCTATGCATTCTGGTGCTCCAACCAGAGACCTAGGATGCCTTCTTCCATTTGGGAAGACTTGTTGGGATCACAGCCTTTGTCCCTTCTCCAGAGCACATCCAGCATCAGCACACTTGGGTTGTTCATTTCAAATAAAAAATAAATAAGTAAGTATGTGGTTTCAGATGTGTGAGATGGGTCACGCACCCCATGCTGGGAGACCAGTGTAGGTATGAAAGCCCAGCAGGTGCAGTCGAAACATTTAGTCATATGTAGATGGTAGTCCTGATGCCTATATCCTGCTGCATAACTTGTTCCTCCAAAGCCCTTTCCCTCTGCAGTCCTCTGGGATGACTCACAACAGACTGTGTCCCTTCTAATCCTTGCTTCTCATTCAAGGAAAGAATTAGGCCCTACTTTGGTTTTCTTGATGCCTTGGACTAATGCAAGTAGTAAACTGGACCCTTTGGGGCTGGTCCGCCAGATCTTTCCCTGGCAAAGGGAAAACTGTGCAACCATACCTTGTTGCAAATCAGTAGGTATTTTCTTGGAGAACCAGGGTGCTTATGTTAAGAGCAAGAGGCCATCTGTGTCATGAGAACAGTCAGTGAGACCTAGGTCCCCCTCTGTGAAACCCCTAGCCTGCAGTCTATGACCTTCTCGAGGTTTGGGACAAAAGTCTCTGGAGAGTCAGACCCATGAGTCAAGAGGGGACCTGAAGCTGAGACAATGCCTTGCTCTGGAGGTGACTTGCCTGGAGTTACCTTCTGACTCCACACTCTCTCCTCTCTGGACCTGGGTTGGCACCTCACTCTTCCCTTGTCTTCATTGGACAGTGAGCCAGACAGACTGCTATGTGAGCCTCTGGCTGCCTACCGCCTCTCATGAGAAGCTGAGGACTAGGACCATCTCCAACTGCCCAAACCCAGAATGGAATGAAAGCTTCAACTTCCAGATCCAGAGGCAAGTGAAGGTGAGATGTGGAAGATTGTACCTACCTGCTCTGCCTGCATTTCTAGGTCCCTCCTTGCCTGCTTGTCCTTCTCTTTGCTTACGTGTCCTTCTTATGCCCATTTGTCTTTCTTTTTACCTACTTCTTGTGATCCTATCCACCCATCTTCCCACTCATCCACTCCTTCCTTCAGTCTGTCTCTTCTTTGTCCCTCTCCAAGTCCACTAATCCCTCTACCTTCTTTCCCGTCTCTCTTGTCCTTCTACCTAATTGTTTCTAGAACAGGGTGCCTCTTCTTCCCAAATAGAGTGTGTTTCCAGTACCTTCCAGTACATACTCCAAGCCTGAGAATACATAGAAGAGTCATTCTATTCACGAGGTCAAGGCCAGTCTAATTCCATTTAGAGGGCTTTCTCTATCTTAAATTCTCTTTAGATTGCTTTATTTCTTATTCTTTGGGTGTGTGTTCTTTTGTTTGTTAATTTGTTATTTTGTGGTGTTGGTTTTATTAAGATATAAGGAGACTCCAAGTTGAGTTCACATCTCCTGTGGGAGAATTCTCCCTTGAGCATCTTGAGTTGTGACAGCCTCAGTAGAGTACTTCTTAAGACAAACTTGACCTCATTATGTAGACATCAACCACTCTTGGGACACTTGTGGCCTGACAGTTCTATCCAGCTTACTGCTTTCTTATTTAAAGGATGTTTATGCATTTCTGGTTCACAATGAGTCCTTTTTATAGTTATTGTTTTTAAAAGATCTTTTCTATCATACATATAACTCTGGCAAGAGCAGGGATTTCCGTGTGGGCTCAGTCTGCCATCTCGAAATCAGAATTTGGGCTTCCTTTGTCAAAAGATCTAAGGGGCTTCTGGGCTGGTTCTAGGACATATCTGGAATTCTAGTAATTTCAAGGGCAATAGCTCTTATTCAGAACCACCTCAGTCCACAAAATAGGTACCAAAGGGGAAAACTCAGCCCCCAACCACATCTTCCAGGATCCTTAGAACAAGAGGCCTCAGAGGTTAATCCATGTCACCCGAGACCACTGGCCTCAAAGTTCAGTCAGTTGACAGGGTAGCTGTTCAGCTCTTGACATGCACCATAGGACCATCTATGAGACCTCATTAGGGGCTGATGAACCAAAGGATAAAGTTCTAACACCTTATGCCATCCCCATAAAGTATCAGAATGCTATAGTCTTTGCCACATCACTCTCCTGGAGTGCTAAGATGTTAGCTTCCCCGATCTGGGTTTTCTAACATCACAGGGGCTATCTTCAGCTCCTGAGGCCCGGGTACTGAACACATTCCATATCCTGGCTAGAGTCTTGCTTGCTCTGCCTTTCTACCCTTCCCCAAGGTAAAATGAAATCCCTCACACTTCACAGGCCCCTGCCAACCTTGCAAAATTCTCCAGTAGGAGAGTCAGAGCAGAGGGGCTGGAAGGCTTCGGAGAGTTGGAAAGAACAAAGTAGACACTTTCCTTTCTTAATTCATTGCCCTATAAATGTCTCTCACACCTGAGCAGGGATCTCTGTGTTGGTCCCTGTCCCTCAGACCTACCACCTTGCTAGGACTGGGGTCAGACCCCTTGTCCTGGGAATGGGTCAATGGGTCAATGAAACCATGGTAACCAGACTTGCACCCTGCCTTCTCCCCTAGAACGTGCTAGAGCTTAGCGTCTGCGATGAAGACACAGTGACACCAGATGACCATCTTTTGACAGTTCTCTATGACCTAGCCAAGCTCTGCTGCCGGAGGAAAACCCATGTGAAGTTCCCACTTAACCCAGAGGTAGGCAGCTGCCCAGCCCCTCAGCCTTCTGCCTCATGAGGAGCAGCTGGTCATTCCGATGATGCCTTCCCACGAGCTCCTCTCTGTGTAATAAGCAAGTCGGGGAAAGATAGTACTGCTGGTTCAAATCCCAGCACTATCACTTACTAGCAGTGTAACTTTGTGGAAATTTAATTCCTCTGAGTTCTGTTTTTTCATTTATACAATGACATGACAATAATAGTGCCTACCACACACCAGCTTGTTGTGAGACCTAAATCGGAAAATGTAATTAAGGCACCTAGCACTATTCATGGTACAAAACCAAGATGCAGTAAGTTTGGTCCCCTCTCCTCCTTTCCTTCCCTTAGCATCCTGCTGCTATGATGGCCCCAGAGGACAGATGACAGATGAGAGTAAAGGAGGGCAAATCTGCAAATCAGAGAAAGTCAAAGCTGGAAAGGACTTTCAGAGCCTGGTCTCACCTCAGGATGTTATAGATTCGATCATTCAACAAATAGTCGAAAGTCTACTATGGGCCAGGCACTGAGGACACATCAGGGGACAGCATCCCTGCCCTCACCTGGCTTGTATTTCAGCAAGGAAATTAAGGTCCAGTGAGTCCTGACTTGCCTAAAGTTATACAGCAAGAGGTGGGAAAGAATAGGTGAGGGAAGGGGCCCCTACCCTTTTGAGTTGAACTTTCTGGGGGCAATATCTCAGCTCTCCCTTGCCCCCGGCACTGAGCCCCTTGGGAAGGCAGGAGAGCAATGGCAAGTAGAGTCATGGGTGTAGAAGATGAAAAGAAAATGTTCTAGGGCTGGGGGTCAACTCACTTGAGTGGTCAGTAATTTTCCTGATGTCCAAGACTTGGGGACAGATGGAGGCGGAGGGAACGATAAGAGCCAGGAGCAGCTGCCCCCACTCCACGTCAGCAGGACAGCTTTGTGGGAAGGATGGGGCAGGTCTACAGAGGCTCCTGGGACACTTACAGCTCACAGCTGCCCTCCCTTCCTCCCCCTGCAGGGCATGGAGGAGCTGGAAGTAGAGTTCCTGCTGGAGGAGAGGTGAGTAAGCCCCAGCTCCCAGGGGCTCCTCCAGGATCCTGAACCCCAAGTAGCATTTCAGAGCCTGGTCTGCCTTTTTACTGTCTTCTCTCCTCCTCCTCCTCCTCCTCCTCCTCCTTCTTCTTCTTCTTCTTCTTCTTCTTCTTCTTCTTCTTCTTCTTCTTCTTCTTCTCTCTCTCTCTCTCTCTCTCTCTGTCTCTCTCTGTCTCTCTCTCTCACCTCCCTCCTTCTTCTTCTTCTTCTCTCTCTCTCTCTCTCTCTCTCTCTCTCTCTCTCTCTCTCTCTCAACTCACCTCAGACTCCTCACTGTGCATCAGAATCACTGGGAACTTCTAAATACTGAAGGTGCCTGGGCCCCACCCATAGTCATCCTGTCCTACCAACATCAGCATTGCTTTAAAGATCTACTACTCTAGCCAAAATCAGAGTATTAGAATATTCAATTCCCTCTGCATCTCTGAGAGTGGCCTCTGGGAAGAATTCCTGCCACCTTAGTGACAGAAGCTTGTTGAAGCCAGGCTGAGAAAAAGGTCAGGACCAATGAGTCTCCTCCTTGACCTGAAACTATTGAAACAAACTCCCCCAAACCCTGTCCTAGAGCAGAGGTTGCCCTCTCTCTGTCTGAAGCCCACTCTGGAACCAAGTCGGGGAGGCTCCAACCCAACATGTGGGGTTATTTCCTGTCATGTTCAATTAGAAAAATGACCCAGGGTCCTGAAGTTCTGACTATGTCAGAGACTCGAGTAGAATTGAGTCACAGAGCTGTAGGATGGGAAGGACAAGGGGGCAAAGAGAGAAGGAAGGAAGGGAAGAGGTAGTGAGGGGGGCAGCAGAGTCCCTGCCCTAAAGGACAAGCCTGCCCCAGGATGGCAGTATACCTTGTGTTGGGGCAGCTGACTGCCCCCGTCTTTGTAACCCTGGCAGAGCTAAGCCCCTTGAACTTGTGATCAGCCAGGGTCGTGGAGGATGAGAGGAATGAGCTACAAGAGGGCTTGACACATTCCACTCAGAGAATCCTCTGCCTAGGCTCTCTTGGAACTACAGCAGGACCTCAGAATAATGTCGTTTTGTTCAACGTCATTTCATCATACGTTGATGAGATGCCATCGAAATATAACTCTTGTTTGTATCAATTTGCCTGTGCCAAAGTTTGTTTCATTACACATAGTTTTGCCGCAGTTTCAAGATCCCATCAACGACATTAAGCGAGGAACTGCTGTATTGGGGGTGCCTCATTTCCCACCGACAGCTGATTGACAATTTGAAATCACCTTTGTTCCACGCTGAAGGAAATCTGGGCTCTCTCCTCTAGGTCTTGATTCGACAAGAATTTTTTGCGGGGGAGGGCGGGGGGATCCTTGGCCGAATTAGAAAGTGGCTTGCAAAATGAAATACGTCAAAATTGGTAATAAGAGTTGATCTGGAGACACAGTCATCTTGGGCTGATGTGGACTGCTAAGTGCAAATTGGTGGCTTATATGCTGGGCTTTATAACACAAAGACACTTCCTGTACACAAGGCGCTCCCGGCCTGGGTCAGAACTGTTCATTAAATATATAAATTAAATAAAGCACAGGACAGAGAATGGGTCACTTTTGCTACCAGCACTATTCCTATCTGCTCTAGGTGGTGGTCCGGGTTTTTCTCGCAACCCCATAACTCTATGCATTTTCATTTAGTTGGACATAAAGGACAGTTATCCTTTAAGGGTAAAAAAGGGAACTCTTTTTCTACTCCTTCTGACATGTGAAACTACTTTTTCCCCTGGACATTCTATTTAAAATGTATGCCAGTTTTCTCTTTGACAGTCTTACAAATATGAGGTTTCTTAAGCCAATATTTTTCATGAAGACCAAAAAAGGCCCTGCTATCTCACTATTAGCCCTGTTTAGGCTTTCTATCTCCTGTGTGAAAAATCACTCAAGAATGATATAACTGACCAGGAGCTCTCATTTTGTTTTTCAGTCCCTCTCCACCTGAGACCCTCATCACCAATGGCGTGCTGGTGGTAATTGTCCTTCCATGTTCCTGTAGCTCCACATGTGGCAGCTGCCGTCAGGGGAACAGACTGCGGGAGAGCACACCAGGCCCTGTCCTGGAGGCAACTAGGAATCAAACCAACTGAAGCTAGCCAAAGGGGATGTAGGCAGGGCTGTGGCAGCAGCTAGGCTCCTGACCTTGGGGAGGAGGTAGCTGAGACATCAGTTATTCTGGCCCAGCATCCTATAACCCACGATGATCCCTCCTTTTGGGAACCTCTCCAATAAAACCACCCACTGGGAGGCAGCCTTCTCCCAGAATCAATCTGGGTCTTATTTTCTCCCAACCCCAATCTCTCCGTAAGCACAAGTTCAATAATTCAGGTGTTGGTATAGCCATTTCAGTTAGATGCATCTAAAACTCCAGGATTCAAGATCTTTCCCCCCAAAATCTGTCTTTGACAGTTTGTGGTGAAGGAATTTGACCTGTCTCTGCTTCTTTAGAAGGCTTTTCCATGGAAGTTGTTTGCTTTCAAAGCCCAGAGAGGTAGGTTCCCTCAGGTTCCACCCCCAACCTGCAGCTGAGATCATGACCCCTAGTAAGTGGTGACTGTACATCCTAGATTTTTCAGGAGAGCTTCATTTTCAAATATCTGATCTCCAAATGAAATGACAGGCCTTAATTGGGTTCTGAAAATGTGATTGGCACACTCAGGCATCCCCAGGCAGAACAGTGCTGAATTTAGCCTCTAGTTCTTCATCTCCTCTCTTAGGCCTGGCAGAGAGGGGAATGGCTTGTACTCAGAATGACCTTCCTTTCTTTGTTGCAGGCTCGACAAGTCTCCTCCCTAGAGGTTCATGCAGAATCCAGAAGGCAGAGGAAGAGGGGGAAAAGTGAGTCCTTTGACCACTTCTGCCTGCTGCTGAGGGGAGGGGGGCAGTACTGCTGTCAAACTGCCAGCACCAGAGTTGGCTGCTCTAGGGCTGCCCTGGGCTCAGTCAGGTAACCAAGAGTTTGGCTGAGATGCCTCAGGATCACCTCACCCTCAGGGATCATGAAACCCTGTCTCCCACTCCACAGCCCCTCCATAAGGGGTGTGCTCTTCCAGGCACCCACATGACCCTTGGAGCTTCCCAGGCCTGACGAGCACCCTGGGTCAGCAGTCAATGGCACAGTGTTGCCCATACTGGTCCATGCTGCACCCCTGCCACACCAGGGGTTCCCTAGATCTGGTGCAGTGGTCAGTACTGGGGTAGACAGGCACTGACAGTGTCCAGGTCCCCTCTAGCTACACCCCTTCCTCTAGCCAGATTATAATTCATAGAGTCCTAAGAGATCTACAAACGTGAGACTCTCCTGCTCATCGCTCCACCCCACCCCACCCACTAAGGACTTCCAGCCCTGTCCCAGGGAAGGGGAGCAGCATGACCCCACAGACATGAGGGAAGGAAGGAGGAAGAGGCCACTACCCCCAAACTGGCAGTATGGTGAGGGCTGCTTTCAGTGCAGTAGGAGATGACTTTGGAGCACTTCCCGGAGAAGCAGAACCTAGGAGGACTAGTCCAGAGGACTCGACATCTCAGGGGCCTTTCTGGGGACCTCATTTGTCGGTATCACACACAAGCCTTGTTAAAATGCAGATTCCTTGGCCAGCCCTTCCCTACAAAATGAGATCTGGGACAGTGCCCCAGGTGATTCTAAACCCCTGTCTTGGGTACCACCAGCTACGCTTTTTGCTGGGCCAGGATGGGCTGGGGAGAGTGAGAGTCTTTCTGGCAGTCTCAACCTTCTTGTCTCCTCTTCCAGAGAGGGACTTCCTGGTGACAGTGACAGAGTCCTTCGAGCACACGCAACGCATCTCGCAACACCTGGAGCCCGGCTGCCCAAAACCTGCCTGCTTTCACTACCCCAAGTACTTCCAGTCCCAGATGCATGTGGACCTGCCCAGGAGCCAATGGAGCTGTGGGGTACAAGGAGGCATCAGGGGGTGATGTAGGGAACTGAGGCAGGTGGGCTGCCAGAGGAGCCCCTCACCCCCCCTCACAGAACCACTTATCCTTCCAGCTTTGCTGCTGTGGTGTGCACAAGAAGATCAGCCCTGTCTGCCAGCCCCTCCATTGCCTCTCGGACAGCCAGACGGTGACCCTGCCTGCGGTGAGGGCCTAGGTCTGGGACAGGGCCCCCAAGCAGCTTAGCCTGGACCTCCTGTGGCAGGGAGATGGGGAGAGCCTGGGGGGACCTTTGGGGGAATGTGACTCCTGGGGTCTCTCAGGCAGGATAGAGGAGTCTTGTGGGTAGGGGATGCTGAGCTGCAGTGTGGAGCCAGAGGGTGTGAAGGCCAAGGTAAGGATGTTGGGGAGGGTCGAGTCCAGAAGAGGGAGTGGTGTTGGAGCACTTGTGTGTGAGCATGTGTGTATGCATGCCTGTGTATGTGAGAGCATATGTGTGTGTAGACACATGTATGCTGGGTCAAGTCAGGAGGTAGACAGTGTGGTGAGTCCGTACTTCTTCGGTTGGGATCACTTGGCTCTGAATTGTCATCTCTAACAAGCTTTTCATCTTTTGCATCCCAGGGAGAGAACTGTGAATTACACATGAAGTCTACACCCTGGTAAAGTACCCTTTCTGTCTGTCCCTCTGATTTATTCATCCTATGTAGTCTGAAGTAGTATCTCAGAATGGTTTTGATTTGCATTTCCCTAATGGTTAATGATGTTGAGCATCTTTTCATGGGCCTATTGGCCATTTGTATATCTTCTTTGGAGAAATGTCTATTTAAATCCTTTGCCCATTTTTAAAGTGGGTTATTTCTATTTTAAGTTGTGAGAGTTTTTTGTATATTCTGAATAAAACACCCTTGTCAAATATATGATTGGCAAATATTTCTTTCATTCTAGGGGTTGTCACAGTCTTGATGGTGCCCTTTGAAGCACAGACATCTTAAGTTTCAGTGAATTCTAATTTATTTTTTTCTCATGTCACTTATGCTTTTGGTGTCATATTTAAGAAACCATTGCCTAATCCAAAGTCATGAACATTTATTCCCATGTTTTCTTCTAAAAGTTTTATGGATTTAGCTCTCACATTTAGGTCTATGATTGATTTTGAGTTAATTTTTATATTCAGTATAAAATAGGGGTCCAACTTCATTCTTTTGCAAATGGATATCCAGTTGTCCCAGCATTATTTGTTGAAAAGATTATTCTTTCTTCATTGAAGTGTCTTGGTGCCCTTGTCAAAAATCAAGTGACCATAATTCCCATATACAATTTGATTTGCTCTCTACCCTTGGACAAGTTATTTAACCTCCTCTCTAAGTCTCAGGCTTTTCTCACCTGTAAACTGGAGCAAGACCACAAATATTGACCATCATTCGTTGCTTCGAGGATCCAGTGAGATAGATAACACATGTGAAGAACTCACTGATCTCTTTGGCAAGTGGCATGCTCAGCAGTTATCAACTATTGTTATTATTGTTGTTCTATTATCCGTTCCTTGTTGAGGTCAAGGAGTTATTCTCTCACCACTGTGTCTACAAGCCTGTGCTAGACATGGAGGAAATGTTATGGAATTGTTCCCAGACCCTGTAATTAAGGAGATGTGACCCTGTTAGTGATTCACTAAGACTCAGGTCAGACATTGTCAAGGTCCATTTGCCTGGAGTCACTGAGGAGCTGGGCGTTGGAGGATGCAAGGGATGTGGGTGGGCAGAGGGAGGAAGCTCCTAGTGAAGGCGAGGACCTGTGCAGATGAAGTGCTCCTGGGCTTTGAGAACCGATGGGCCCTTTTAGGAAGTACCAGGAGGTGAGGTTGGACAAATCATGTAGGATCTTGGATGCCAGGCCAGCAGCCTGGACTTGTTCAAGGTGTGGATGCGATTAAAGAAGGTTATACTGCAGCAGCTCCTGCCCCACCTGCCTTGCAGACCTGAGGGGTGACATGATGAGATCAGGGATATGAAGGGCTTTTGTCAACTGTACAAACGCATGGAATGATTATTCTTTCGAGAGCAGGAAGAGCCTAAGGAAGAATGTGAGCTCCACAAGAATGGGGTTGTGTTTTTCCAGAGATAAAGAGCCCTTACTGTAGAGTTTTGTCCAGAGAAATTGGCCAAAAGGATCTCAAGGCCCCTTGTCACCCGGGTCTAGCCTCAGTCTATAGAAGATGCCTGGAGGAAGCCTTTCTGGATTTTCTGGACCTTGCTGAGGAGACAGAGGGCTCAGTGAATCCCTAATTTTGTTGAGTATCGGCTTACAATGTACCAGCTAAGGCCTTGGGGCCTTACTTCTATCTCATTAAGTTCTTGAGGCAGTGCTGAGAGTTAAGCACAATGAGCCCCATTTTACAGATGAGAAAGTAGAGACCCTCCAGCCACATCTTATCCATGGAGGTGAAATCTACAGGCCCGCTCAGCCAAGGTTCTCTGTGCCCATAGCCCCAAGACACTGGATGTGCGACTGGGCTACAGCCTGTGCCCGGAGGAACTGGAGTTTCTGCAGAAGCGAAAGGTGGTGGTGGCTGAAGCACTGAAGCAAGTGTTGCAGCTGGAGGAGGACCTGCAGATGGATGAGGTGGGTGAGCAGCAGTAACCTGGGCTCAGGGCCTGCTCTAAACGAAGCTTGTCTTTCTGACACTGCATCCTGCCAGCTGCCCCCCAGCCCTTCCCTGCCCAGGGCAGCCTCAGTGCTGCCTTTCGTGGTTGCTCTGAGTACTAAGGTTCCAGGTAAGGGCTGTGTTGGATGCGATTCAGTTATGTGTTCACAGGAACAGAGAGAGCAGAGTAGAGAAAGAATGGAAGAAGCACTAACAGATCCTGAGGTGACGGAATGGCCTCCTCTACCCACCCAGGAAATATGTGAGGTTCCACCACCTCCCACACCCCACACGTCCACCCGAAAGGCCCTAGGACCCTCATTCTTCAATTCTCCCTTCCCTCAAGTATGCACACATACACATATTCCCCAGAAAGAATAGCAGGTAGAGGCTGGAAAGAAGCAGCTTCCACTTGCAAGGTCAACTTCTTCCCACAGAGTAGATAGTGGTCCCTTTGTTGGAGCCCTCTGTCACCTCCCTGGTATGGACTGAGGCCCACACTCCCCTAGGCAGCAGGTCAGCCCTCCCAGTACCACCTTCTGAGGCCAACTATAGGTGTGGACAAAGACCTCATGGAGGGCTGTACTGGGCTTTGGCCTACAGAAGGATCTTACAGTCCCCACTCAGATGAAAACAGTGAGTCTTGATGAAGAGCCCTCTCCTCTCATCTTTAGTGAAACACACCAAGGGCATCTTAAACCTATGTCAACCCAGAGGTGACAACCCTGCCCCTTTCTGCATCAAAATTCACTTCTTCCTGCTCTTACATATATATATGGTACATATTGGGCACATACGAAGCACCAGGCCTGGTGCCTTCACATCAAATCCCTCTACAGAAGATATCAATTTGCAGCCATTAAAGAATCACACACTCGCTAGGTTTTTGAGCAAGCCAACCAGCTCCCTAGACCCCCGTCTCATCATGTCTTAACTGAGGGCTAGATTCGCAGTGCTAACTCTTTCAGCCATGACTTTCTAATTTACAAAGCCTCTGTAAGGCTTCAGAGCCCTTTATTGATGCCAACTATTGAGGCTGGAGCTAAGGTCTAATTCTAGACCTACCAGGTGGACCTCTATTCTGTGAAAGGTGATTTTTAGGACACTCAGTGCCTCACTCTCTGCTGCGTGGCCAGCTATCCCTTCTCCACTGTTCCCTCATAGCTCCTGTCTGGCACTCCAAGTCTTCTCCTACTCAGCACTGCCCCAACAGTCTGTCTCTCTGTGCCCCCAGGTACCACTCATAGCCATCATGTCTACTGGGGGTGGAACAAGATCCATGACTGCCATGTATGGGCACCTGCTGGGGCTGCAGAAGCTTAACCTCCTGAATTGTGCCAGCTACATCACTGGCCTGTCAGGGGCCACCTGGTAAGAAGCTGGGGGATATTGTCTGGTGGAGCCCAGAGCAAGCAGCAAATGGTCTGGCCTCACATCTCTAGTGAAGCTCTCCCCCATCGCAAGTTAGATTAGCTTATGAAGCCTGGGTAGCTCTACCAATTACAGCTCTGTGACCTTGGGCATACAACTCAGCTTCTCTGAGTCTCAGGTTCTGTATCTGTAAAGTGAGGATAATAATAGCACTGACCTCGTGTGGTTATTGGAGAGGCTCTCCCTGTACTGGGTACACAAGGGACACTATATATATTATACACGTTGGTCATTACTGAAGTTACTATTTCCCTGGGGCTGTGCAGGGACCCAGGAGCAGGATGGCTAGGTATGAACAAACTCCTGGTGCCACTGACCCCATCCCACTGGGGAGACATAGCTGCCCTCTCCCAGAATCTGCCAACCCTGAGTTCAAATGTTGGCTCCATGACTCCGTGGCCTAGCACTTACTTTGAGCCAAGTACTAATCTAACCACTTTATATTACATTAAGTCACGTAATCCTCACAATAACCCTGTGAGGAAGGTATGACTATTATAACTCTCCCGTTTTTACAAATAGGGAAACTGAGGCAAAGAATGGTTAAGTAACTTGCCCCAAATCACATAGCTAGTGAGTAGCCGAGTCTGGTTTTGAACCCAGGAAGATCTGAGTCCAGAATCCTCAATCTTGAGCAGCATGCTATACCTGGTACACAGCAGGCAATCAAGAAATCATAGCAATTGAGACTATGAGTAATAATGTCCCCCCCTTTCCTCCAGGCTTCTCCTCTGGCAGGTTGGGGTTTCCTAGTAGCTGCCCACCTTCCTTCTTGCCATGGTCCAGAGTTGATTGAACCTGGGCTGGCTCAGCTCTATCAGCCATACCTACACCTGTCTCTCTCTCTCCAGGACCATGGCTACTTTGTACCGTGACCCTGACTGGTCCTCCAAAAACCTGGAGTCTGCCATCTTCGAGGCCCGGAGGCACGTGGTAAAGGACAAGATGCCCGCCCTATCCCCAGACCAGCTCTCCAGATACCGGGAGGAGCTCCGGCAGCGCAGCAAGGAAGGCTACAAGGTCAACTTTACAGACTTCTGGGGCCTGCTGGTTGAGGCCTGTCTGGGGGATGAGGTAGGTGCCCAGCTTCTCCTGGTCTGTGCCCTGCCTTGGCTGATGTCCAGTTCTTTTCTTCATCAGGGTATCTGGGCTTAGATCCCAGCAGGAAAGAGTTAGGTGAGAACTGCAGATGCATCTTTAAGTTGTAAAAGAAGTGAGATGCCCAAATGAGAAGGATGTTGGAGGTGGCTTAGGTGCAGTCCCTCAGAGAGGCAACATGTCCTCTGAGAGCCATACCAAGACACCTTTGAGAGAAAATGGGGAAGGAGCAAGAAAAAGGTGGAGAGTCACCAGACTGTGATGCAAGTCTGACCCCTTGTGGAGGAGAAAGGAAAGAAAGGCTGGGTGGAAGCATCCTAGACGGCTTATGTGGTCTAAATCAGAGGTCCCCAACCTTTTTGGCACCAGGGACCGGTGCTCCTATGACAATCTAATGCCTGATGATCTGAGGTGGAGCTGAGGCGGTGATGCTAGTGCTGGAGAGTGGCTGCAAATACAGAAGAAGCCTTGCTGGCTCAGCCGCTGCTCACGTCCTGCTGTGCGGCCTGATTCCTAACGGGCCATGAACCCGGTACCAGTCCATGGCCCAGGTGTTGGGGACCTCTGATCTAGAAGGTTCAGCAAGGCCTTTGAGAGTCCTCCAGCCAAAGTGGCCATCAGAGGAGTCTGACACCACCAAGAATTGTCTTGCCTACTGTCCTACTTAGTCTTGGGCTGGGACCACCCATGGGAAGCGTGGCCCCAACACAAACTCAGCATGGATTTCAGAGCACAGCAGCTGGGGCCCTTAGTCAATGACACCCTGTGGTCTGCAGGGCTCATTCTCATGGTCACCACACAGAGGATGGGCCCAGTAAGGTTCCTCCCTGCTCTGAGACCTAGTGATCTGAGCAATATGTGCCCAAGAAGAAAACCGGCCTGTGTTGAGAGCTATATGGGACGTGGTGGAGGAGTGGGATTCCCATGAGAGGCTGTGATCCTGGGCATTAGGGTGAGCTCAGCTAACACCCGGACCTGTGGGGCCGTGCAGTCCCCAGGGAGGACCAACTTCGGCTGTTGCCTCGCCCTAAAGCAATGCTTCCTACCTAACTTCTATCCAGGCCCATGGCTGTCTGCCACACTCCCAAAGGTGTCTGAGGATTTCTGATTTCAAATCAGAATTTTCCAGAAGGAAAAGGGATAGCAATTAGTTTCTAATCGGTCCCCTCTTCCGGAAAACCCAAACAATTTGAACAACCAAGGATGGCGCAAACCACATCTTCGACATTCTTTCATTTCCTCATTCAATCTTTCAATAAATTAAGTACCTCCTGCATGTCAAGGGGATTCAGACATGAGGTGCTCACAGCTTTTGATAGATCCCACTCCACCCTTCCCCCCGTTGATAACCCACCATCCAACCCGTCCTCATGGTGAAGCAGGGCAGGTGGAGACTGAGGATATTGGCTTTTGGAGTCAAGCAGTCAGGCAGGATGGGGTTTAAATTCTGGTCCTGTTCTGTGCTATTCCTTAAATGAGAATTATATCAATAAGTGGTAGTTAATATTTCTAACACGAGTTAGTGCCCCATGTGATGAGGAAGAAAGCACCAAGGCTTTCAACATCAGAAGTCTGAGTTGTTGCCCCTAGGGTTTGATGTGGGGAGGAACCAGGGTCCCCAAGAAGTCTAGGACTGATATTAAGAGGCCTCTGCTCTTCCACTCTGGCCAAATGTAGGAGCTCCTTTCCTTCCGGCCCCTTTGACAATGAGTGTGAACTGGGACTGACTCTACCATGAGTCTGCAGCTTCCTCTGCTTCCAAGACCATCAGCTCCATGGTGCCCAGATCTCTGAGCCTAGTTATGACAGGCACCCTGTTTGCCTTTCAAAGGAGGCCCAAGAGTCTTGCTGCCCACACAAGTTTTGTGGCCCTCACAAGCTCGAGTAACCATGCATGGTCACCCAGCAGGCAGCTGTTTGGCCTGGGATCAGAGCCTGGGCCTCTGAGACCTCAACTGGCCTTATCTACAGTAGCTGATTCACTATGGGGGTGGGGAGTGGCATGTAACTCTAGCTGATCTGTAAGATTCTCTGATTACACAGCACAGTGCTCTGGGAACTTAGAGAGACCCTGGCTGCCACATGGTACCCAGGTTTCTAACCCTTTCATAGAGAGAGAGAGAGAGAGAGAGAGAGAGAGAGAGAGAAGCTTTTTTTTTCACATCCCAAACATATTTTATGCAACATGCAAAGCAGATATGAGAAATGAAGCTGCTCTGGTTTGATGGCCTCTCCCACTTCTACCTTGCCATTCTGTGGTCCATGAGACACAATGAGAAGAATCCTGGGACTCTGAGGGACAGCCCTTAACTGCAGATTCAGTCCTATCCCATCTATGTATCTGGGGTGGTGCATGGTCCAAGGACAAGTGTACCTTCTACATTTTAAGAGCAGGTTTGACTGGTATCAGCCCAAGCCTACACAGTAGCCTGGTAGGCTCAGGAGCTATGAAATGGGCTGCCGGAGGTCCAGACTGTGACCTTATTCTGCGCTGCCCAGGGGGCTACTTATCTGCTTCTTCTCAACCATTTTGTTTCCCCACAGAGAAATGAATGCAAACTGTCAGATCAGCGTGCTGCTTTGAGCCAAGGCCAGAACCCCCTTCCCATCTACCTCACCATCAATGTCAAGGATGATGTAAGCAACCAGGATTTCAGAGGTAACACTGGGGGCTGGGAATTTACCAGAAGGTCACTTTCCAGCAGGCAAAAACACCCAGCACCCCAGCATACACACACACCCCCACCACACCTTTGCTAATCTCTGCATCAAAAGGCAGTCCTGACAGCTGAAGAAACCTACTTTGCTACCCACTTCTTCCCTGCTGCCTGGTTGGTGTAGAAGGGAGGAGGGGAAGAAGACGGGAGATGGGGGAAGGGGACAGGGTCCCCTAGCTTCTCTGGGTGGTGGTTTGGTGAGACAGGGAGATTAAAGTCACGGAGAGAAAGGGTCCTAGATATTTCTTAAGCTGCCCAGACGGAGAGACTCTAGAGACCAGCCCTGCTTCGGGGTCAGCATTGGTCCCATTTATCGGGTTATGAGGACCAAATGAGCCCAGCAGGTTACAAACCTGCATCTTGCCGAACCAGCAAATGCTGGCCCCCTGGCACCCCCATGTGTCCTGTGGGGTAACTGTGATGATCTCCCTGTCCTCATCTCCCCAAAACCCTCGAGCCAATTCAGGAGGTGAGGAGGGAGGGCAGGGCTGTCCCAGCCTGAGACTGACACCCTGTCCTGCTACTTTCTGTGCAGAGTGGTGTGAGTTTTCCCCCTACGAGGTAGGCATGCAGAAGTATGGGGCCTTCGTCCCCACCGAGCTCTTCGGCTCCGAGTTCTTCATGGGGCGGCTGATGAGGAGGATCCCAGAGTCTCGGATGTGCTACATGCTTGGTAGGCAACTTCTGGCTGGGGGAGGCCCCTGGGCACTCTGCCCCATGCTGGGCAAGGCCTTGCCTTTATATTAGCGAAGGACAGGGAAGCATGCTCTATTCCTCCCAGGAATTGTCTCAGGTGAGACTGGGAATGGCAGGCTGAGATGGAAGCTTCTGGAACTCCCACCCCCTCTGGCTCCAGGCACCACCATGCCTACTTCCAGGGGCCAACCTAGTCCCTGGAATACAAGGGGCCAGAAGGGGACCACGGAGCAAAGGCAGAGTCACTGGGAAATCCTGGCCCAGCTTCCTACCCTATGCTCCTCCAGAGCAGGAAGCCCTGAGTGCAGGGGTCTCTCTCTCTGTGGTATCCACTGGTTCAGTTCTCCCCTTCAAAGTCCGAAGTGCATCTGCCAAAGGGCAACCTCAAAAACCAGACCGAACCAGTTATGCTTTATTTAAACTAGTTGCCTGCACCCCCCTCTCTTTCATTTATCCCAATCCAACCCATTCCAGAAGGTCCAATCCAAAACCTATATCTTCCATGAAACCAGTGAGAAGACCCCAGCCCATGGTGGCCAATCCTTCCTCTAAATACCTGTGCTATTGGGCACGTGGTTCAGAGCTCCACAGTCAAGACACTTGGGCCTGAACTCTGACTTATTTATTAGCTGTGTGGAGTTGGACAAATTACCAAATCTCTCTGAGCCACAGTTTTCCTATCTGTAAATTAGGCTTAAGAGCAAAACCTACCTTATAGAGGATCCAAATGGGTCAAAGTATGTGAAAGATTTCATATGAATATTATTAATGCATTGCATTTTAAAATCATGATAATAAGAGATAGCATTATGTTTATCAAGTGCTTGCCATGTGCTGGGCACTGTTCTAAACTAGTGTATTAGTTTAGAAAAGTCGGCATCTGGAGCTGAACTTGAAGCCTTCACCTGTCAGCATTAAGTCACTGCTGGGGCTGTGCCTCATATGCCTTCACACCCTCTCACAGCCTTAAGAGGAAGATGGAGAAGAGCGAGGGCTGGGGATCATCAGTCATCGGGGTCGAGCTGCACCATGGGCAGAGGGAAATCAAAGCCTGTCCCACTCCCCAGAAGCCTGACCCAGAGAGAGAATCAAGGCCAAGGCAGAACCAGTCAGTGTGTGGGTGGGTCTGGGGCCTCTTAGACAGAACTGCTCATGGCTGGCCCTGCTCCGTAGGATTGTGGAGCAGCATCTTTTCCGTGAACCTGCTCGATGTTTGGAATTTTTGCAACACCTCAGAGGAGTTTTTCCACAGGTGGACGAGGGAGAGGGTGCAAGACATCGGTGAGTGACCCACTAGCTTCTCCTCTTGGTTGAGTGAAAGAAGGGGAAAGTGGAGAGATGTGGATCACAAACTGAGGACTAGTCCACCTTCCATGTGTTTCAACATCATCTCTGTGGCTACAAACATGAGAAGGCAGCTAGAGCTGGAGAGTCTTCCCTGCCTTGGAGGGGAGAGTAATTGTTGGTGAAGACACTCACTCCAAGGTCTAGCCAAAAACCCCTGGGGTCAGCTCAAGGGCGACTGGGGGAGTGGGTCCACTGTGTAGCAAGTTGGCACAGCTGTGAGGAGCCTAGGAGATGTGAAGAGGGTAGAGATTTATGAGCATAGTTAAAGGTCGCTCGTCTGGGACCCTTCTCTGGGACCCCTCCTTACCTATCACCTTCCCACAACTCACCGCCCCTGTTCTATGTCTCTCACTTGGGTACTCCAGCTCCAGGGTCTTGAGAATCAGGCAAGGAAGGTGCAAATGGCACTTACAGTGGCTCACCCCAAGGTGCCAGGCCACCATGCAGGGCTCCACCTGGGCAATCCACCCCAACTCTTGTGACCTGCTCTCTATCCCCATCTCCCTTACAGAAGATGAGCCTCTCCTTCCTGAAATTCCCAAATGTGATGCCAACGTCCTGGACACTTCGGTGGTGGTCCCAGGGTCATGGCTGTCCAATACCTTCCGCCAGATCCTCACCTATCGGTCCTTTGTGTCTGAGTTCCACAACTTTCTCCTGGGGTTGCAGCTGCACACTGACTACCTCCAGAACGGCCAGTTCTCCATGTGGAAAGGTACCCCTACCTGGCTGCTGCTTAAGGCCCGCCTCTGTTTGGAGGCAGGAGAAGTAGATCTTAAGGCTGCCATAGCGACAAGATGAGAAAACTCCTCTGACCACATCCATGGGGTCAGGGGGCAGAGTCCCCCCCCCACCCCTACAGAGTATTCCTGCATGAAGTCCTGAACAGTGGGTGGAGTGGTGTGCATATTTAATTAATTGAACCTGTACAACTCTAAACGGAATCTCTGCAGGTAGAAGTCGGCCCATTTCATAAATAGGGAACTGTGGGCCCTGACTTTCTGCAGTTGTGCTCCTGAGGCACCTTTTCATGTGAATGGTGCCCTCTGGAGTTGGGCAGGGATGGCCCAGTTCAAGAACCCCCAAGTGGGAAGTAGCAGAGCCAGGCCTTAGACTGTAGTCTATGCAGCCTCTTCCCCACCTTGTTAAGGCTCTAAGGTTGACTGTCAACCTTCTTTGGTGTTTTACTTGGCCACAGCCTACAAATGGCTTCTTGGGCTTGGCCTAATGATCCTCATCCTCACCATCTGGGTCAGAAAGGGCAACTGGCCCTGGGCGCCAAGTTTGCACCAATTTATAGGACAGTAGCTGTACACCCCTGCTACCCCACAAACTCTGTGGTTGAGTCACAGTGGGTTTTCTGTGCATATTTCATAAAAGACTTGCTAAAACCTCAGTCCACCCAGAGGGGCACCCACTCACCTGGGTGTCCTGGCCAGAAGTTCAGGGCCGAAGGCCTAGGCTGAGGTGAAGGAGCTCAGGGAAAGGCACTTCATCCCTACCAGGTGCCTCTAACTATCTGCTGAGATTAGGGTACAGAGGTGTGATGGTAACTGGAAGCCTTGGATTTCAGACACTGTGCTTGACGGCTTCCCGAACCAGCTGACAGAGTCCGTGAACCACTTGAGTCTACTGGACACAGCATTCTTCGTCAACTCCAGCTACCCACCCCTCCTCAGGCCCGAGAGAAAAGCCGACCTCATCATTCATCTCAATTATTGTGCGGGGTCCCAGACAAAGGCAAGTGTGGCAAAGAAAGCACCCCTCCCCCTCCACACACACACACACTGAGCAGAAGCAGTGTCTCTTCTGAGACAGGCCACTGAATGAGCTCCTAGAGCTGGGAAATGCGAGAACGTGTGCTCTCTACAGGCTCCAAGACATAGCCGGATAGAAACCCAAGCCGCTATGCATGACGTGAGGGGAGCCATCCAAATCTCAGGAGGCAGCCAGCTGACTCTCATGCAGTGGGGCCGGGGTTTGTGTAGACTCACTAAGTTAATTCCAATTCTTGCATCTGAGCATTTGTCATATTTGGCAATTCTTCAGCTACAAAAAAAATAAAACTTTTTTTGTAGCGAGGCAACCCTTGGTTGACCTCACAGATTGCAAGGACCTTGTCATCTTACATTCCCTTATTTTTTATTTTTTATGCCTACACACCTGGTCTTCCTAGGTGGTCTCCCATCCAAGTACTAACCAGGCCCAACTCTGCTTAACTTCTGAGATCAGACAGGATCGGGCTTGTTCAGGGTGGCTTGGCTGTAGACCAAAAAAAGAAGTTTTAAAAAATAATCTTAATGGATCCCAATCAATTCCAAGGTTTTATACCACCACTTCAAGAGCTTATAATGTTCTAGTTTAAAAATAATCACACTGTCTCCCACTCCCAGGGAATATGACCCTTCATATAATTATACTAAAGAACCAAGACCAGAGGTTTTTTATTTATTTTTATTTATTTACTTTTGAAATGTTCTGGCTTTTTAAGGGAAAGAATCTGATTTTTAGTCTTCTTTGATCTAAGTCCCATCCTGAAGCCTGAAAAGGGCAGTGTAGACAGATGATAAGGGTGACAACAATGATAATGACCTAAGTTTGTAAACGAGTGACAATGTCCTCTCCTATGCGTGATCTCACTTGATCCTTAGACCAGCTCTTTGAGGTAGATGGCACACTCGCTACTATTCCCATGTTGTAGCTGAGGCAGCTGAGGCATGGAGAGTGTAAGAGGCTTCCTTCAGATCACGCAGCCAGTGAGCATGGAACAGAGGGCAGAACTAAGGGCATTCTGACCCTCTAAGTCCACTGCTCTTTCTGTTATATCACATATATAAAGATGCCCTTACATAGTCCTTTCCAGCCCTGTGACACTTCGTCAGTTCCAAAGCCCACATAAGTCCCACAGGAGACTGCCAGCCATGGCTGTACGTGGCTCAGCTCCAGTCGCCCTCAGGCTGCCATCCACATCTACCTAGGTTTGTATTTAGGTGAAGCACCAGTGAAAGGGTTTTTGTCCATTTTACTTGGGGAAGGAGCTTCTACTTGGACACACACCAACCTGCTGTCTCAGGCCCTTTATCCTGACCTGGCTTTGTTCTAAAAATAGCACAAAGAGGCCAAGTAGTTGGAGATCTGAGTAGTAACCTGGGGAAATCAGGAAGCTGGATCTAAAAACTCTATGTTTCTTACTCTCCCCCACCCCTCCTCTCAAACATGTCCTCCTGTGATATTCTAGCCTATAAAACAAACCTGTGAGTACTGCACCGAGCAGAACATCCCCTTCCCCAAATATGACCTGCAAGAGGAGGGGAATCATAATCTCAAGGAATGCTACCTGTTGAAAAACTCCCAGGAACCTGATGCCCCCATCGTGCTTTTCTTCCCACTCATCAACGACACCTTCCAAAAGTACAAGGCTCCAGGTAAGCCGCCTCCAAGCTCAGTTCCCACCACCCTCTGGCCTTGGACAGAGAGCTCCTGTCTTTAAATTTATGCCGTCTTCCAATAGCACTAATGGGAAGTCTGGCTTAGCTCCAGTCTGAGCCAACCTTGGCTTTGGCAAGAAAGAAAAGATTCCCACCCCCACGCGCCCTCATGAACTAGTAGTGTTAAATTCTACTTTGTCAGTCATTCAACATTTATTGACGTCCATCTATGTGCCTGGCACTGTGTTGGTGCTAGGGCAGTCCTAAGATGGCATGTTGTGCCCTGCCCTAGGAGCTTTGAGGTGTGCATATATGTGTGCATGTGTGAGTGTGTATGAGTGTACAATCTTCATGCAGGTGTGTGTGCTCATGCATGCAAGGCTGTGCTGCAGGGAGAGATAAGATGGAAGTCATTATAACCTAATATAATAAAAGTCTATAGTGAGTCCTTCTGCTGCCTCCAGGTGTGGAACGAAGCCCCGAGGAGATGGAGAAGGGACAAGTTAACATTTATGGCCCCAAAACTCCCTATGCCACCAAGGAGCTGACGTACACGGAAGCTGCCTTTGACAAAATGGTGAACCTCTGTGAGTACAACATCCTGAATAACAAGGACCAGCTCCTTCAGGCCTTGCGAATGGCAGTGGAGAAGAAGAAACTCCTGAAGAGCCAGTGTTCCTCCTAAGTCCCGAGAAGCCGCAACACTCCTGTGTCTGTTTCTACGGTCTGAGCGGGGAACCCATCAGGGCTGCCCCGTCTGCACAGCCAGCTCTGCTCTCTGGCAAGGGGTGCAGGCGGGCTGGCCTGGACTTTCTATAAAAAATAAAAATTTCAAATAGTTGAGGGAGACAGAGAGAGAGAGAGAGAGAGAACGAGAGAGAGAGAGAGAGAGAGAGAGAGAGATACATGAAAATAACAAGGCATGTATTGGGATTTTAAAGCCGCTGATATTGTTTTAAACTTTTCTCTGTAGGGTAAAGGGCCCAATGGCCACGGGCTCCCACACATGCCTAAAGTGTGGAGAATAAAATGGCCTGAGGAAGAGGCTGGTTCCCCACAATCCTCAGACTTAGAGCTGGAGCTCAGAGCCCTCTCCTATCTACTCCTCTCTGCCTCCCGTTGTGGAGGGCCTAGGGGAAGACACGAGATGACCTGAGAAGCACTCTGGGTTCACTTTTTAAAATTTAAGACAATTATATTCTCATAATTTTTGTAGGCAATTCTATTTTGTGGTTTTTACTTTCACGAATCAGGAAATGAATAGAGATCATGATGCTAGAATATCTAGATGGAGCACTAGAGACATCCTGATCTCTTCAACAACAAAGCCAAATAGGTGACAGGATTTCAGCAACCCCTCTCCAGCCACTCAGAGCCCTAGGACTGGTGATCCCCATGATCCCTACCAGGCAGCCCCGTCTTAGCATCCAGCTCCAATGAAATGCCAGGCAAAGCCCAAGTCTGCAGCTCAGGTTCATTGAACAAGGATCTGGAATGCAGCTCAGGAATGTCTGGTCAGGTAAATGGTCAGGCATTAGGTGAGTGTTGCTGCCCAGTGCCACCCACTCTAAGAGACCAACATTTGCTGACATACCTGCTCCAGGAGCTCTTCTCAATTTTCTATCATCCTCCCCTCTGTTATCCAGATGGGATTATTTATTTCTAAATGGGATTCCTCTTATTTATCATGTAAACGCCATGGCCAGCACTTCCCAGCTCTTGGAGAGTTCCCCTGAGGGCACAAAACTAGGAAGGATCTACCCGGAAAGGACCTGGTTAGCCCTGAGAATGAAACCCAAACTTGGAGATGGTTTCAAGATGGCTTTCACTGGGAAAGCCCTGGAACACAGAGAAGCCCAATCAAAGTATCCAGGTCTCCCATCAGGCTGGGAACTTAACTGAAAAATGTGTAACCTGAGCCACTGAGATTCCCAGGCCAGTGGAAGGTAGGACCAGAAAGGCACGTGGTCTGCGTGAAGCCCAGCAGACTTGGAAGACATGCCTTTCTTTCTGTGTTACCATGTTCCTTAAGTGGTCCTTTGGTTGTTAGGAGACAAGTGGTGACAGGTACCAAAAGTTTAGAAGAATCGACCTCCAATTTACATTCTTGCTACTCAAAGTGTGCTGGAGAACTAGTTAAAAAATGCAGAATCTCAGGCCCTACCCCAGCCACACTTAATAATAATTTGCATTTTAGAGAGATTCCCACCTTCTCTCCAACGCCCAGATGCTCACCCCCCAGGTGATGCCTATGCATATTAAAGTTAGAGAGGTATAGATTTATGCCACACTTTCCCATTGCCTGGAAAGCGTACTTTCCCTGAGCCAATGATAAACTCAGCTCCTGGACCTGCAAAACTAGTCCTCACCTAGATAATGCTAACCTGGCACACTACCCCTCCCTAAACCAGGGCAGCCAACGACCTCCACTTTGACATCTTTTCCTTCTGTTTGCAACAAACAAGTTCTCCTTATCAGAGTGAGCCATGCGGCAAGACCTGTTTATTGTAAGGTGAAGGCAGTCCTGCCCTGGATTCATCCAAATATGTAGAGTGAGGTTTCTGAAACCATTGTATTATTTGAGCAAGGAATAAAATGGCCATGTAGGTAAATACTGCTGACTCATTTGCTTTCATTATCTAATGCTGTGAAAATTGCATAATTTCTGCCCTCATCCGTGCCTGGTCGCTGCCAGAGGTTGTGAGAAGGCCATTTCTATCCCATTCCTCCTCTCCTTGACCGCTTCCTTTCCTCCTGCAGGGGTCCCCACCTTCTTGCGGTGGGGTGCTCCTCTGTTTTTATGAAGCCACATCAGCACCCAGTGGAGCACCAACTCTTGCTGACCCATGCTGTTTGAGCTCCTGATGGTTTTTGAGAAGTGCTGGTATAGAAGAAGGAAGGGCAGCCAGCATCAGCTGAGCACCTACTTGGTGCATGAAGGCCAGGGGCAGTAAACAGCCTCTGCTTTCCAGGAACTTCGATTTAGGTTGGGGATAAAAATATGGAAAGATTTACGTTTGGATTTGAGAAGTTAAATAGTGACTTAGATTCTAAAACAATGCTGATGATGTCACAGAGCAGGAGAGCACAAGGGTTAAGGACAAAATGTCATCAACTCTGAGAGGGGCAAGAACACAGCATCATGGAACCTCCCTCCCCTTAGGTTCCCTACTCTCTGCCTGTAACATGATTAAATAGAAAAAGTTCCCCTCTCCCCCTGCATCCCTGCTCCTTATCTCCCCTTTCCTTCTCAGGAAAGTAGCCAGCACACCACGCTGCTGCACAAGCCAGTCACCCTGTCCCACAGTAGATGTGTTCTGCTCCTATATCCCCATGAAAACACTTCTCCCCAAGGCCACCAATGTCCACCCAGTTGCCGGATACACAGAATCAAAAGGCACTGGCCCTTTACAGGCCTTATCTTACTTGATTGTTCTCAGCATTTGGCACTGCAGACCACTCCCTCCTTCCTGAAACCCTCCCTTCCCATGACTTCCTTGCCAACAGTTCAATTCAGTTCTGCTTGCAAATATTTATTGCCTTCCAACTGCATGCCAGTCACTGGGCATTGGGATAATAAAAAGAATCAACAATTGACCCCACATTTCAAGGAGCTTCCTTCTGGTCCCATGTAGGAGGCCTACATGGAAACAGAGCCTTGCAATACAAAGAGAAAATTCCATATTAGTTGTGTACAGAAGGAGCACACATCAGGAGCTGCCGACCCAGCCCTAGAGGGAAGGGGCCAGGTTTGCTGGATGCTCACTATCCTGGATTTCTTCCCACTTTCAAGCCCCTTCCCTCGCCTCACCTCTCTTGTTCTCCTTTAGCTGCTGGTATTCCTCGAGGCTCTCTCCTTAACTCTCCTCTCTTCTCCATCTATACTCTCTTAAACAATCTCACCTACACCTAGGACTTCAAGTGCAGCTTCTGTTTTGAAAACTCTCAAACCTTTAACTCTAGCCAAACTGAATTCCTAAGTTCCTGATTTGTAAATTCAAATTCTATACCAGTTAGCATTACTTCTGCTACATAATCAAAAGAATTAAAATTACAGTGGCTTAAACAAGATAGAAGTTCATTTCTATTATCAGAAACTCAGGCTCCTTTCAGCTATCCTCAAGTTTGCCTTCTGGTCCATTATCTTAAGATAATGAGAATTACCAGCTGTTCCATTTATCTGTTGCTGAGCAACAAACCCCCCAAAATATAATGGCATAAAATAACCACCATTTGATTATGCCCACAGATTCTGTGGGTCAGGAATTTGAAAAGGGCACATCAAGGACAATTTTTATCAGCTCCATGTGTGGAACCTCAGTTCAAATGACTTGAACTGCTGGAGAGGACTCAGATGGCTGGGGCTGAAAGATCACATATCTGGTGCCTGGGCTGGAAAAACTGAGGAGGACAGAGGACAGGCTCAGTTTGATTGACTATTTGTCAGAACACCTTTATATGGCCTTCCCAGCATGGTGGTCTCAGAATAGTCAATCTTCTTAAACAGCAGCTCAGGGCTTCAAGAGTGAGTGTTACCCAGTGGCAGCTGTATGGTGTAATGTATGACCCAGCCTCAGGAGTCACATAGCAGCACTTCCACTGTACTCTATTGGCAGAAGCATTCACAAGCTAGCCTAGGTTTAAGGGGAGTAGACGAAGATCCCATCTCTTGATAGGAGGCATGTCAAAAAAGAGAGGGTTGGGGTTCACGTTTTAAATCCCAGACTGCCATAATTGAATTCTTAAAGTTGACCTTGCTCCTCTTCTACTAAGCAAATGTCACATTTTCGGTTCTGTTACCGCAGACTCCATTTCTAGTAACAAAGTCATTGTTAGTTAGGAATTAGTTTCATCTCTAACAAAGACCTGACGAATAGTGGCTTAAATGCATTCATATAAAAGAAGTTCACAGGGAGGTAGTCCAAGGCTCGCATGGCACTTCATGATTCATCAGGGATCCTGTTCCTTCCAGCTCTCTGATTTACCATCCCTTGCATAGTCCTTAGCCTCATGATCCAATATGAACCCTGTGGCTCCAGCCATAACATCCAGATCCCAGACTATGAGAAGGAAGAGGGGAGAGAAAGATTGAACTCTCTTCTCTTTAAAGGAGACTTCCTGGAAGTCCTCCACATCTTCAGGTAACATATCAGAAACCAGAAGTTGAAGTTAATCTCATTATCACACTTAACTGTAGGGAGACTGGAAATTTTTGTTTTTACCTAGTTGGCAATATGCCCAGTTAAAAATAAGAGCTCGATTGCTGAAGAAGGACAATTTATAGGCAACTGACAGTCTTGTTGCAAGTACCTACTAGACATCTCCCCCTACATGTCCTACAAGCTACATCTCCAAGTGGCACCAGTGACCTGAGTAAGTGGCCGCAGAGAATGGAGAGGTGTGTCAGAGAGTGAAGGGGCCTCTTCCCAGGCCAAAGTACCTCCTCTAATCTCCTTATCATGTGTCTCCCAGGTCTTTAACCACTCCAGAATTTAAAGTTATCAGAGTAAGACACTAGACATGATCTAGAGCAAACCTTGTGACCATCTTCCTACCGAGAGGAAGACGGGGGAGAAAACTTTCCACAAGAATTACAATAAAATTCTCATATAGCAAAGAAAATTGTGTCTTGTTATCAAGATACTTATTTTAAGAAGTATGCAATACAACAAATTTCTAGGCAACAATAGCACTCCTTATAGAACAGTCTGTAATAGGACTTAACCTGAAAAAAACAATTGAGTTTAAAATTTTTAAAAAGTGACAGAGATTGGAATTGTTTAGTCTGAAGAAAGAACACCAAAAGAGTATCACAACTTGCAAGTGGATGCAAGATAACTATCCTGGGGAGTATTAGCGACTCTCCCACTCCACTGAGGACAGACAAGAACAAGAACAAGAAAGCTGACATCGCAGCTGTAAGAAGACCAAGAAGGAAGAAAAGGCATGGCGCTACATTCTCTGGGCCACGTTCTTTCAGGGCTTTTTTTTTTTTTTTTTTTTTTTTTAGAATTAAGGACAATGCATTTTTTTCATCCTTAAAATTTGTTTTCTGATAATTGTGTAAAATTCAAAAAATGCAAAAGCACATAAAAAAGGAAACTGAGACGACTTATCATTCCAAGACTCAGAGGTCATTACTATTTGGGGGTTTATCCTTTCCATCTTTTTATTGGATACTTTATTTCTTTTTTACAAAAGTACAAAAATCCTATACATTCATTTCTTTTAAAGTTATATAAAAAAAAATTCCTAACATAAAATTTACCATCTTAACCACTTTTACATGTACAGTCCAGTCGTGTTAACTATATTCACATTGATGTGCAACAGATCTCCAGAATTTTTTCATTTTGCAAAACTGAAACTCTATACCCACTGAACAGTTCCCCATTTCCTCCTCCTCCCAGGCCTTGGCAACCACCATTTTACTGTTTTACTGATTTGACTACTTTAGATACCTCATGTAAGTGGGATCACACACTATTTGTCTTTTTGTGACTGGCCGATTTCACTTAGCACAATATTCTCAAGGTTTATCTAGATTGTAGCATGGGATAGGATTTCCTTACTTCTTAAGGCTGAATAATATTTCATTGCATGATACCACATTTTGTTTATCCATTCACCTATCAATGGATGCTTGGGTTGCTTTCACCTCTTGACTATTATGGATAGTGCTGCTATGAACATGGGTGTACGATTTCTCTTAGAGACTCTACTTTCAATTCTTTTCAAAATATACACAGAAGTGGGATTGATGGATCATATGATAATTCTAGCTTTAATTTTTTGAGGAACTGCCATACTATTTTCCATAGCAATTGCATATATTCACTATTCAACTCATTTGGGTAAATACTAAGGAGTACAATTTCTGAATCATGTGGTAAGAGTATTTTTATATGGGTTTGTTTTTTACGTGTGTTTTAAAACATATAGAAGCTTTCACTGTTTTGTTGACAAATCTATTAACCTTTTCTTTCATAATTTTTGCCTTTGATTTTGTTTAGAAAGGCTTTTCCCTTCTAAAATTTTATTAAAAATTGTATATCTTCTAGTAGTTCTGTAGTTTCATTTTAGTTTTACATTTCAATCTTTGTTTTATTTTGACATGAGGCCAATATGTAATTTCATTTTCCTTTGGCTTTCTTTTCACTACCATAATTATGAGTAAGTTTCTCTAAATATTGATCCACACAACAATTCCAAAGGAGTTCCCATTTTACAAACAAGGAAACTGAGGCAGAAAACTCATTGCACTTAAGGACACCACATAGTCATTAATTTACATAACCAGGATTCAAACCCAGCTCTTTTGATGTCAAATCCTGTTCTCTCTTCAGGACAATCTGGGTACTCAAAGTATGGTCCATGGACAAGCAGCATTGGCAAAACCTGGGCACTTGTTAGAAACGGGGCGTCTTGGGTCCCACCCCATACCCACTGAATCAGAATCTACATTTCCATCAAGTTTTAGAAGTACTGTTGTGTGTATTTCTACAAATTTAAAGTACAACAGAACCACCTGGGGCACTTGTTAAGCTCCATCACTCCTCAATATTTTAACTCAATAGGTCTGGGGTAATGATCACAAATCTGCATTTTAACAAGATCTCAAGTTATTCTTATGCAATTGGTCCATTGATCACACTTGAGAAATACACCAAATAAAACAACTGAGAAATACTCAAAAACTGAAAGTTAAAACACCAAAAGTGATGGCTGATTATTTCTTTTAATCTCAATTTAAGTAAGATTTTTTTTTTTAACTGAAAAAAGAGACAGCTGGGAGGTAAGATTAGATGCGACAATTAGATTATAATCAACGAGGATGATGACTGAATTTTCAATTTTACGAAAAATCAATTAAAACTACGGGCAAAAGGCCTCCGATCTAGCCATAATTTAGTGGAGACAGCGTGGATAAGAGAAATATGTACCCAAGTAGATTGGCGTCTACTTCCCCAACTTCAAATGTTGTCATTTGCGTCCGTGAGTCAAGGTCTCTTCACCAATAAAATGAGGGTAATAATAACCTGCCAGCAGGTAGAAAGAACCTGTCTGTCAACTTTCTGAACTTTTGTCTCCGGTATTGACGTCCATAGGGCTGGGACAAGTGAACATTTCAAGGAACTAAGCAGCCTCCGGAGACTCGATTTTTGCCAGCTCAGATTGCCCGGAAGCCGACGCCACCTGGCCAGAGGCGGGGCCCCGGCGACCAACGAGGCCCCTCGGAATACCGGTCTGCGTCACCCGGCTGGAGACACCCTCTCCCCGCCCCAGTCCTCCAGACCGACTCCGTCATCAATAATTCATTAACAGCCTTCTCTCCATTGGTTGACGTCTCCACCCGCGCTGGCGGCGGCCCAATGAGGAAGGACTTGAGAGAGCCCTTCTGAATAGTGAACGAGTTCTCGTGACGTAGCGACCGAGGATTGGCTGCGACGGCGCGAGGCGGGGCCAGCTCGGACGGCCGCGAGCGCAGCTGGGGCAGCTCAGGGCCAGCCGGGGAGGGTCGAACTCGGAGCGGGGTCGGAGTGAGGAGCCGGCGCTGAGAGGCAGGCGCGGGGCGCGAAGCGGCGGCAGCATGTTCAGCTGGATGGGAAAGCAGGCTGGCGGGCGCGAGCGCGCCGGCGGCGCGGACGCGGTGCAGACGGTGACTGGTGGCCTGCGTTCGCTCTACCTGCGCAAGGTGCTGCCGCTGGAGGAGGCGTACCGCTTCCACGAGTTTCACTCGCCGGCGCTGGAGGACGCCGACTTCGAGAACAAGCCCATGATCCTACTGGTGGGCCAGTACAGCACCGGCAAGACCACCTTCATTAGGTAACCCGCCCCGCCCATCCTCACCCCCGCCTGGACCCCTTCCCCCCACCACCTGGATGGAGGGAGTCCTCCCCACGTGTGCGCGTGTAGTCACTAGCTTCCCGCCGCCCTCGGGCTTCCTGCAGCGCCCACTTCCCCTTTTGCGGACACCCCTCGCCACTGCTTCCCCTCCAGCATCGGCATGTTTTCGGGTTCCGGATCCCAGCGAGGTGCCCGCAGCCCTGCCCCAGGGCGTAGCCACCCGAGTAGGGACCGGCTCAACCGCACGCGGGCAGGAGGGTCCCCGGAGCCCCTTCTCTGCGTACTCCGAGCCCTCCGTACTTGCTCCTTACAGGCCCTGCTCCGGCTGGCTTTATCCTGTCACCCTGGCCTGGGGACCCGGGAAAGGGAAGGAGGGCAAGGCTATAATAAGCATCTTCTTGATGAGCGAGTGAGGCCTAGGGCTAGAAATGGGGACAGAGGTGTGGGTTATTAGAATTGGCTGTTGAGTCATAGTTGGAGAGTTAAGCTTCAAGCACAGTGCCCAGTTTATAACTATTTATTGAATGAATGAATAAATGGCAATCGTAGAGGGTATTGCCTATGTCCCTTTCCTTTGCGGTCCTTACATGCCACCTCCCACCACAGTGTTCTCGGGAGTGGGTAGAGGGTCCGCCTTCTCTCGGCTGTTGCACAGCCTTGCCTTTATCCTGCCATAGGAAGTTAGTTGTGCGTAGCAGCCCGCACCCAGTGAAACTAAGGGGGAGTGTCATATTACTATTCGTTAGTTTCCATTTCTTGGGTTGGTCATTCCTTCCTCGCTCACCCTTGACAACTGAAAATATTTGTCATGCTCTCTGTGTCTCCAAAAGCAAACAATTACTGTGCATGCCCTAAGGTTCAAATCCTATAGCTTCCCGGGAAGTGACTTTTGATGGAAAATAAATGACATTGAAACAGATATTCAAAGAGGCTATTTTACTTCCAAAGCATTTACTGGCAAATTAAGGCTTTCCATTCTTTGGTTAGGAAACTTGCTTTCCTGGGTTAAAGCCTGTGTCAGTTGAAACAAAGTGACTGGCTATTTAAGATTTTGGTCCAGGATTTTGGAAATTGTAACAATCTCTTCATCATTGATGTTCAACAGGTGTTCAGAAAGCTACATCTATATTTGGATTCATGCCATTTCTATTAAGTAGCGGCCTCTTTTTCTCCAGTCCAGTGACCTGAATAGTTCCTACAAATAGAGTTGTCACTACAGGAAATATGTTCAATCCAGGCCTGCAGATATTCTATGAATGAATTCAGCAAAGCAAATACACTATATATTGAAATGTATAGTCCTAGACAGTAAATTGAATGCGAAGGAAGACTGAAGAAAATAATTTTAAAATGGCTTTTTTGGTGCTTATTAATATGCTAAAAATAGTATTAAATGTGTCACCCCAGACACTCAAAATGAACCATAAAAATATTACAGTAAACTGGTACCTTGAAAGATGGCAGACAATACATTTGAGGTCCTCAGTAATCGTTTTTAAGTATGTGGGAAATGAAGTATGACCAAGTGATAAAGTGAACCTTTTAAAATATACAGATGAGGGATAAGAAGGTAGCGTTGTTATAATAATCTCAAACACTCATGGTGACATGTTTACAGCACTGCGGGCAGTTCCTCCTGTCTTTGCCACAGGGACTTTATTGTGCCCTGTGTGATTAGGGAGCCCCAGTTGATGCTTTACCATCCTGGATGTGATGGGGCTCTCTCTCTCTGCTCCCATAACCTGGATAATAAGCAAGCCTGAGGCAGGAGAACACAATTCACAGGAACATGATTTGATCTTTTTTTTTTAATTTACTATTTCATTGTATTATTTCTCACTCTTCTCTGCTTCATCATTTGGGGTAGTTTTGTGGAATAGCTAAGAATAGTTTTAAGGATTTTGAGATCTGATTCCTGGAGACTCCATCCAAATGGACCACTGCCAGAGTGAAGGAGGGATTACCATTTCAGAAAGTCACTTGCTCTCGAGATCGTCCCTGAACTGACTTTGTTGTTGGGCAGCAGGCACAAAGTAGACCTGTGAAGTTAGAAGGAAATCAGAGTGGACATGAAGCTTGGTGAGGCACCAGAGACCTGAGTTTTGTTTCAGAGTGGAGCTAGGAAGAAGAGATTTAGCTCCTAGGAGGAAAGCCCCCTCCCTACCCCCCAAAAAAGGGGAACAGCTACCTTCTAGACACCTGCACTGGAACTGGGGAGCAGAAGAACTGATCGTCCTGGATCCTGTGTGCATCTGTGGCTATGTTTTCTCTGAATCTGGTCAGTGCCTATGTTGTTTTTCTCATAGTAAAGCCACTCAGCAAGGCCTTTTTAATGGAACCTTATTCTTCCCTCCTTTTGTCCCGTAACTGGGAAGAACTAGGAGCCCCACTAAAACATGATGAGCAAGGACCCTCATCAGAAATTAAGTATGTGCCTTGTTTTAATGAAAAGGTCTCCTAGATGGGGTGGATGAAAAGCCTGACTGAAGAAAATATGCTCACTTCTGCGGGGAAGATCACCATGAGGGGCCCAGATACAAAGGATGAGTAAAAGAGGCTTAGCGGACTCTCCTCATGTGAATCACAAAGCTGGCCCAGAAGGAGACTTCAGATGTGATGGACATATTTGCCAAAGTCTCTTTGTGGTAGAAGCAGAACAGCTGATAAATCTGTTGTCTCACTGACAGTTTTATTTCTCAGAAGAGGGAGGATGCATAAGAAGAGTTATTGGTGCCCCACCTCTGACCAACAAGAAAGAATTGGCCAGAGAAGGAAAAGAAACAGGCACGGGAGAAATAGCCATGTCATCTTAGTCTCTGAAACAGCCAAGGAAGGGCGGATATTGGGGTTAGCCAGGCTTGTGCCCAAAACCTGAGGAAAACAGATCTGAGATTTCCTCCAGAAAATCCCTGGGCCCAAGTGCTGTGAAGGAAGACATTTCAAATGAGAAAATATGAGGCTCAATGAAAATCAATTCAAACCACACAGTTGCAACTTCTGATTATTAAGAGCTTCACTTTTGTCTCTTCCTCCTATATTCTGTCTCCTAATGAGGAAAAAAGAGGGAAGTCACTCAAGAAACTGTATAGGTTTTAAAAGGTCAGAGACCAAGGCAATTATGCAAGAAAAAGAAATAGAAAGCATGTTGATTGGATAAAAGTAAAATTATCTCTATTCACAGAGAACACGATCTTTTATATAGACAGTCCTAAGGATTTAGGAAAATCCTAAAAAACCTCTTAAATGTCATAAATGAGTTCAGCAAAGTGTCAGGATACAAGATCAATATACAAAATTAATTGTATTTCTATACACTAGCAGGGGACAATCTGAAAAATGAAATTAAGAAAATTCCATTTATAATGGCATCTAAAATACTAAAGTACTTAGGAATAAATTTAACAAATTTAGTATAAAACACACTGAAAACTATAAAACTTAGTTAAAGAAAACCTTAAAAAAATGAAAAGACCTCCTAGGTTCAGGTTTGAAAGACTTAAAATTTTAAAATGGCAATACAACTCAAAGTGATCTACGGATTCAGTGCAGTCCCTACCAAGATTCCAACTTTCTTTAAAGAAATTGACAAGCCGATCCTAAAATTCACTTGGAAATTGAGATCCAGAATGGCCAAAACAATCTTGAAAAAGAACAAAGCTGGGGTTCTCATACATCCTGATTTTAAAACTTACTACAAAACTACACTAAACAAGAGTGTGGCATAAGGGTAGATATATAGATCAATTGAATAGAATTGAGAATCCAAAAATAAACCCATACATCTATGGCAAATTTGTTTTCACAAGGGTTCAAAAACAGTTCAATGGGGGAAAGAATATTCTTTTCAACAAAAGATGGTGGGACACTGGATATCCACACCCTAAAGGGATAGAGGGTGACTGCTAATGGGTCCTGGCTTTCTTTTGGGAATAATGAAAATGTTTGAAAATTAGATAGTGGTAGTAATTGCACAACTTTGTGAATATACTAAAAGCCACAGAATTGTACCCTTTAAAAGGGTGAATTTTATGGTATATGAATTATATCTCAATAAAAAAATAGAAAACAATTCAGTTTTCTAATCTTACGCATCCTATGATTTATTTAATTTCCGTAATTCTTCAATTAGTATCAAGAAATTTCTACATCTGTGTGCAATAATTTAAAATAAAAATGGATGCCAGGAAGAAAAAAAAAGAAGTGGGAATAGCTCAAAGAACACAAGGATAAAAGGAACGAAGGAGCAGACATGAGAAGAAAAGGAGTAGCCACCGCACAATACCTGTATGATCTTTTCCCCTATATATCCTTGTCAACGTATAAACACATTCTTTATAGCACTCAAGTTAGTAAAATCAAGGTACAATGTTTTTCTATAAAATGCTTGATAAAGTAATTGTATTTTAAAACTTTAAATATTATTTAAATATGTTAGTGGGGCAAAAGGCAGGGGGTTCCATATGCAAGGATAGGAACAAGGTTTATGGACAGTATGGAGCATTAAGAAGCTGGGCAGAAATGAGAGGGCAGAAATGCCTCGGACAATTTTAAAAAGACTTTTTAGGCCTGTTTAGAACAAGAAAAATACTCAGGAAGTGATAGGCCCACTGGTTAGCTCTCTTTCTATAACATTAGAGGAAAGCAGAACTACTTCGCTATTTTGCTTCCTCCTTTTTCCTCACAACAAATGATCTACAGATGGCAGAGGGAGCCCAGCTGTGTTTGAGAGGGGGTTCAAACCCTGAGACAGGCACTCTCTAGGGCCCACACAGGCAAGCCCAGTAAATACCTGAGTGGATGTATGGATGGGAGAACTGTATAGGAAGAATGTGTAGTTGTGCTCAAAGAACTGTGGTTGATAATTTTTAAGAAATTATGAAGAATATGACTCAATAACAACAAAAAAAACAATCCAATCAAAAAATGGGCAGAGGGCCTAACAGACACTGCTCCCTAGAGGATATGAAAAGATGCTCAAC